GTCGCATCCCGCCCGGCACTTCGACCCAGTCTCCCAACACTTCGATTTCGCCTTCGACGCTCTTCGACACCTTCGACGGTGCGCGACGCTTACTCGAAGCTCGGCACGGTCTTCCCGATGCCTCGTGCGTAGATCTCGGAACGTCTTCCGCATTCGGCGGACAATAGGGCCACTTGACGCCGCTCGGCCAAGCGCGCGCATCGCTCCAAGCCACACCGACGTAGCCAGTCTTTCCCGATTAGGTATCAAACCTCGCGGCATGCCCTCAACGATGGACACCGGTCCGAAGTGGCCATATGTTGCTCTTCATCTCCGCATTCGGCATGACGTCACTCTACTGATGGACTTGGTATGTGCCCCTCGGTGAGGCAGCTTCTTGAGGAACAATGCAAAGCCCCTTGTACCCGTATGCCACTCTCGAATAGTCGTAGCATCCTGTGTAGTATAAAATCTGTCGTAGTTCTCCCCAAAAACAAAAGATCTGTTCCCCCCCCCTCGAGTTCAGAGCTCATAAGTCGAGTTCGCCCCGCATCTAAGCCTTCAACTGCGTCACTTCGTCCCTCACTGCGTAACCTCGAAACCTCGTCCACTGCGTTTACTCGTCGATACCGTCTCGACGAACCCTTCGACTTCGACTATTGTCGAAGAAACTGCGAACTGCGCCCTAGCTAAAGTACACCCTATCGAATCGTGTCCCTTCTCTCTACGATACGTCGAAGAGCTCTACCGAGCTTCGATCGTCGCTAACTTTCCACAGCCTCCGAGTAGCTTCGACGACGTGTCGAAGCCACCTCGTACCTTCCCTAGCGTTCGTAGCCTTTTCCGAAGGCGTTTCTCGTGTTCACTCGAACCGCGGGACACCTTGCTGCTAACTCCCCTCTCATTAGACTATAATCCGTCTCTCTAGTCCCTTTAGGTCGCACCCAGGTTAGGGGTTAGGGTTTCGTAGGTCGTATCATTTCTGGAGCCCACCGCGAGGGGATCTCAGGCAGGAATTCGCCGCTTTCGGGTTTCCGAAAACATCTCCAGTAGTCACCCGCTCGCAAGCGCGTGAGGCTGCTAGCCGCAGCGCCACCGAGAACCTCGACAGCTCCTCTCGAACACCCTCGACTCCCTCTCCAACAATTCCCGGTGACTTCGACCGCGACGAAGAAGACGAGATAGATCAAGAACTCCAGGACGACTTCGACGAAGAACCAATCCCTTCGACCGCCGAAGAACGCACTTCGTCCCCCAAGCTTCTAGGCCTCACTACTTCCGACTACGACACTTCGACTCCTGAACTTTTCGAACGATCCAGTTCTTCGCCCGAACCCGAGGATCCCATCCCATCTACTTTGAATCTCGTACTTCCGACTCCGTCTTCTGTTCGCGCCCACGCTCAGCCGCCCATCGCAGCCTCTTCGCGAATTTCAGTCATACCTACATCCGACCTGGCACCTCCGCCACCATTAACACCTTTGAACGCAGCTTCGAACTTCAACCCCGCACCGCCCGCTCCTACGATTCCTTCGACTACTACCACGTCCTCTTCGAGCCCAGCTCCTACTACCACTACAAACATGAGTCAGAACACGAACACACCATTGATGCCCCCGCGCGGTCATTCGACGGCACCAAGCTTCGACCCGTCGGAAGTCCGCTCGCTTCGGCGTTACTTCCAGGACCTCGAGGCATTGTTCACCCGGTGTCAGATTACCGACGAAGCAGCCAAGAAACAGTGGGCCGTTCGGTACCCTTCGATCGACGTCGCCGACTTGTGGGAAACCATCGAGTCCTTCATCGACGTAGCCAAGAGCTACAACGACTGGAAAGCCGACGTACGAGCACTCTATCCTGGCGCCGACAATACAAGAAAGTGGTCGCTGGCGGACATAGATCAGCTCATCGGAGAACGCGCTCGTATCGGGATTCACAACGCGGCAGACCTAGGCTGCTATTACCGCGACTTCATGGCCATTACAAAACATCTCATCGCACAGCACCGGCTCTCCCCTATCGAACAAAGTTGCGCATTTCTTCGAGGTTTCCAGCCAGCGTTGCTCACACGGCTCGAGACCTGACTGCATCTCAAGCATCCCGATCACTATGCCGACGACCCATACACCATGGCAGAGATTCATGTGGTGGCCACTTTCATTCTACACGGTACATCGAGCACACCTACGACAGCGGCTAACCAAGCTATCGCTTCGACATTGACCACCTCGACAACGGTGCCCCCCGGGATGATC